ACGGGGGCCCCTCATGGGTGCGTGCTTAATCCCCTCCTGTACTCCCTGTTCACCCACGACTGCATGGCAGTGCACGACTCCAACACCATCATTAAGTTTGCTGACGACAGCACGGTGGTTGCCCTGATCACCGACGACGATGAGACAGCCAATAGGGAAGAGGTCAGTGACCTGGTAGTGTAGTGCCAAGAAAACAACTTCTCCCTCAACATCAGCAAGACAAAGGAGCTGATCGTGGACTACAGGAAACAGAGGGCTGAGCACGCCCCCATCCACATCTACGGGACTGTAGTGGCACGGGTCAAGAGCTTCAAGTTCCTCGGCAAGTATCATGGTCCGTACACACAAACACACCAACGCCACTTCCCCCTCAGGAGGCCGAAAAGATTTGTCATGGGCCCTCAGACCCACAAAAAGTTATACAGCTGCACCATTGAGAGCATCTTGACTGGCTGCATCACCGCTTGGTATGGCAACTGCTTGGCATCCGATCACAAGGCGCTACAGAGGGTAGTGCATACGACTCAGTACATCACTGGGGCCAAGCTCCCTGCCATCTGGGACTGCTATACCAGGCAGTGTCAGAGGAAGACCCAGAAAATGGTAAAGGACTCCTGCCACCCAAGTCATAGACTGCTACTGCACGGCAAGCAAAACTGATGCACGAAGTCTGGAACCTTCAGGATCCTGAACAACTTCTACCCCCAAGCCAAAAGACTGCTAAATAGTTAACCAAAAGGCTACCCATACTATCTGCATCGACCATTTTTGCAGTAACTCTTTTGACTGATCACATATGCTACTGCTAATGTTTATTCTCTATCCTGTTGCCTAGTCACTTTGTCCCTACCTACAGTACCAGTCAAACGTTGACACACCTACTCATTCAAGGTTTTTCTTTATTTTTACTATTTTCTACATTGTAGAATAATAGTGAAGACATCAACACTATGAAATAACACATATGGAATCATGTAGTAACCAAAAAAGTGTTAAACAAATCAAAATATATTTTATATTTGAGATTCTTCAAATAGCCACACCCTTTGCCTTGATGACAGCTTTTCACACTCTTGGGATTCTCTCAACCAGCTTCACCTGGAATGCTTTTCCAACAGTCTTGAAGGAGTTCCCACATATGCGTAGCACTTGTTGGCTGCTTTTCCTTCACTCTGCCGTCCGACTCATCCCAAACCATCTCAATTGGGTTGAGGTCGGGGGATTGTGGAGGCCAGGTCATCTGATGCAGCACTCCATCACTCTCCTTCTTGGTAAAATAGCCCTTACACAGCCTGGAGGTGTGTTGGGTCATTGTCCTGTTGAAAAACAAATTATAGTCCCACTAAGCCCAAACCAGATGGGATGGTGTATCGCTGCAGAATGCTGTGGTAGCCATGCTGGTTAAGTGTGCCTTGAATTCTAAATAAATCACAGACAGTGTCACCAGCAAAGCACCCCCACACGATAACACCTGCTCCTCCATGCTTTATGGTGAGAACTACACATGCAGAGATCATCCGTTCACCCACACTGCGTCTCACAAAGACACGGCGGTTGGAACCAAAAATCTCCAATTTGGACTCCAGACCAAAGGACACATTTCCACCAGTCTAATGTGCATTGCTCGTGTTTCTTGGCCCAAGCAGGTCTCTTATTATTATTGGTGTCCTTTAGTAGTGGTTTCTTTGCAGCAAATGAAGGCCAGATTCACACAGTCCCCTCTGAACAGTTGATGATATGTGTCTGTGGCTTGAACTCTGTGAAGCATTTATTTGGGCTGCAATTTCTGAGGCTGGTAACTAATGAACTTATCCTCTGCAGCAGAGGTAACTCTGGATCTTCCATTCCTATGGTGGTCCTCATGAGAGCCAGCTTTATCATAGCGCTTGATGGTTTTTGCGACTGCACTTTCAAAGTTCTTGAAATGTTCTGTATTGACTGACCTTCATGTCTTAAAGTAATGATGGACTGTTGTTTCTCTTTGCTTATTTGAGCTGTTCTTGCCATAATATGGACTTGGTATTTTACCAAATAGGGCTATCTTCTGTATACCCCCTCCCCCCTTACTTTGTCACAACACAACTGATTGTCTCAAACGCATTAAAGAGTTAAGAAATTCCACAAATTAACTTTTAAGGCGGCACACCTGTTAATTTAAATGCATTCCAGGTGACTACCTCATGAAGCTGGTTGAGAGAATGCCAAGTGTACAAAGCTGTCAAGGCAAAGGGTGGCTATTTGAAGAATCTCAAATATAAAATATATTTTGATTTGTTTAACACTTTTTTTGTTTACTGTATGTGTTATTTCATAGTTTTGATGTCTTCACTATTATTCTACAATGTAGAAAATAGTAAAAAAATAAAGAAAAACCCTTGAATGAGTAGGTGTCCAAACTTTTGACTGGTACTGTATACATACATACATACACACATACATACATACATACATACATAGTATATATCCTCCTAATATTGTACAATCTGTCTGTCGCTTCATTGGCCTGGGCAATTGTTTGTTTAATTTTCAAGACCAGATTGAGCTCAGTTTGTCAGGTCTCAGAGTAGCCACTCAGCTAATGTCTATCATGTAAATGACATAGAATTGCATAATGTAGCCTAGTGGGCCAGTAACCAAAAGGTCTCTGGTTCGAATCCCCGAGTTGACTTTGTGAAAAATCTGTCAATGTGCACTTGAGCAAGGCACTTAATTGCTCCTGTAAATTGCTCTGGAAAAGAGCGTCTGCTAAATGACAAAAAAAATGTTTTACTAAAATATCAAGGTTCAAGTAGTTTGTCAAGAAGCGGGGTCGTGTTTTGGAGGACACATGGCTCTCGACCTTCGCCTCTCCAGAGTCCGTACGGGAGTTGCAGCGATGGGACAAGACTATAACTACCAAATTGGCTATCACGAAATTGGGGAGAGAAATTAGGTAAAAAGTTTAAAAATAATTAAATTGCTTTATTTTTTTAAATATATGTAATCGAAGAACTCAACGTGCAATAATGTTCTGGTTCTGAAGCTATAGCTAGCCTTTATAACTTTACAACTGGGAAACCACTAGAAAAAGCCAAGCTAATGGTAGTTTGCTGTGGCTTGGTTAGCGTCGATGGATGACAGCAGTCGTTAAATCCATGATAAAACCGGCGATGTATGTCGGTTTGTCATTTTCGAAGCAGTCTTGAATGTTGTTAGACTAAGACCCAAGGCCTGAATAATGTCAATTAAATAATTATTTTTCTTCAGTACAATTTCAATTTAGGGATTTTGACTATCAGTCAAATGCTTAAGACTGCAGCCCACAATTCAGGGCATTCCTGCATGTGGCCCAATAGAAGTATAAAGAGGTTCTTGCAGATGCAGGAACGCCCCCAATTCAGGCCGCAGTTGCACTCCATCTCCACCTGTCAACAACAGAATTCTGCAGCACGAGAAACATGGAAGTCTGATTTCCTTTTTTGGAAGTGGGAGGCGTCAACAAAATATAACTTCTTCAAAGAAAATGAATGACATAGCGCCATCTACTGTGCAGGGAAGTTTGTGTTAATAATTAATCTCTAAAATCCATTTACGTTCACAAGATAAAGAGAAAAAACAAATGTCTTTGAATTTCAGGCTATTACAAATTTATTCTCAAATACAGAAACAAAAGTGACAATAATGAAATCAAACAAAAATGACACCAAGGTGACACTGCTATACTTTGAAACTATTGCCTTCATTTAGCACCATTATGGTTAGGTAATACATCCTCATCATAATCTCTCGTGGATAGATATCTGCGTTACTCAAGATTTTGGTTCTGGGTTAACCGAGATTACCATCTTCTATATATTCACTCGTACAAAATGGATGCTTACGTGCGTCAGTAACATACAAAATATGAGGCAAGAAGAGAGTGGGATCACCGTTATTTAAAGAGAGAAAAGTCATGATTCAATCCCAAAAGTACCGTTTTTGGCATGCCCTCTCCTTCCTCCCCTAGTACCATTTCCTATACCACATAATCCTAGACAGTGTTACAATACATGGTACCCATTCTTGTCATTTGAGGTATCTATCCTCTGAATGCTAGACAGAAGTTGACCTATATCTTCACATAAGCTTTGACTTTTCGGAACTATTCCATTTACTTGGGAGTTATTATAGATGTATACAAAAGGCAAGTTCATGGAAAATAAAATACAATTAAAAAAAACTAGTTGGCACACAAATTCATACAAAATGGGATACTTTACTTGACGTCTCACCATGTTCACAAATCAACGGAAACATGATCAATTTCACCTTTTCAGACGTCTTCCTCCCAATAGAAAATAAGAGCATGTGGCGCCCTCTACTGTTCTAGTCCTCTCAGTACACTTGGCGACGACAGCTCTTCATTTGGCCCGTTCATTTGTTACTTCGGTCAATTCAATGAAAGACCACTACTGTTCCTTACAACCAGCCAGTCAGTCAGTCCCAGGTAGGAAAAACAAACACGATGCTAAAAGGTAAATCAGTTAGAAAACACACAACAGCTTTAGACGGTGTGTGAGAGGCAGAACTAAACCAATACACACGCACACACGTTTGAAATCAAACGAGAGGAGTTGCTTTTCTGATATGGAATCCAGCAACATGTTTTGGAGTCATAAGATATGTTGAACGTTGTGGGGGAGTTGCTGCTCCTAGATCTGAACTCTTGATTGTAGGTCTGTCCAGCTAAACGGTTTGGGGGAAAAACAACCAGACTTGAAAATATGCCAGTATATTTAAGAGGGAAACCAGATGTTAATCATTTCATTTATTTTACGATACTGTGCCAAAATTCCTCTGACTGACTGTTGAACCCTGTTCTTACCAGACTAGAAATGAGCGACACCAATCTACTATGGCCTAATCAGACCACAAGTTAATTACCACCAGACTAGAACAGTCAGTCATTCAAAAAGTGGAATATTCCTAGACCTCACACGAATGGTCACTCACCTCACACGCACACACACGTCATCAGACTACATGACATCCACAAAGAACTCGCTGGGGTTGCCCATTGCTAGGTGGAAGGACTGGCGCGAGGCGGTCAGCTCAGGGGGCACAGAGCCCAGGTCACGGGTTGGGGGGGCCCCGGGTGGTCCTCCAGGGACAGCGGAGGGGCCCATGCCTGGGTGCATGGGGACCGAGGGGTGGTGCTGGGGGTGTCCCATGTTTGGGTGTCCCATGTGTGGGTGTTGGGGCACCATCATCACCATCATAGGGTTGTAGGGCATGGGCATCCCAGGCGGGTAGGGCGACATGTGGGGGGGCATGCGGTGATGATGCGAGCGCTGGGATGTGTGGCTGTGTTCACTGGGCGTGGCCGAGCCGTGGCCCCGCCTCAGGCTGCTGCGGACAGAGTATTCCGATTCGCTGCCGCTGCCCGAGCCCTCCCCTTCCCCTCCAGAGGGGGACTTCTCTCCTCCTCCTCCCCCAACCGTGCTGCCAGGACCTCCCTTACTTCCCCGCCTCCTCTCGCCACCCTCGCTCTTTGTAGACCCACTGCTCCGACTCCCTAGGGGGACAAACACAGGTTGGAACTGGTTAGAACGGGTCAGGAGAGTTTAGAACAGGTTCAAACAGCTTAAAACTGCCAGCTTTCATACATATATGGTTATTTATTTAGTTTGATTCCGTAATGCAGTCACAATTTGGAAATTAGCCACCAATGTGACACCCTCCCCGACCTGCTTTCCCTACATCCCTCCCTCCCTCGCTCGCTCTCTCCCTCCCTCCCACCCTTGGGCTTACCTTCGCTGTGCTGGCTAGCTGTGCCCGTGCTGCCTGGGGCGAAGCTGTAGCTGGACAGTTCGTGGTAGGGTGGGGGCTGACTGGAGTAGGGGTGGGGGTGGGGGTACTGGAAGGTGGGGAAGGAGTGTAGCAGGGGCCAGGGCGTGACCCCCGGGAGGGGCAGGGGGGCCAGGGTGTCTTGATCAGAGGCCCCACTGGAGCCGTCGTTGTCGTTCAGAGACAGGTTGGCCATGTCTGGGGGGAAAGAGGGGGTGGGGGAGAGGGGGAGGAAGAAGAGAGTAGAGAAAAGGAGAGAGGTCAAGTTAAACTAGTTAAAGTACCCGTTTAGCCAAAGGGTTTGAATAAGCTCTAACTGTAGGTACTTCTATTGAGTAGATACTGTACACGCTCACCGAATGTATTTGCACAGCGAAGCAAATTTTTTTTATTTGGCTCTATACTCCAGCATTTTGGATTTGAAATCAAATATTTCATATGGAGGGGAGTGTATAAGCATCAACCTTTCCACAAATGCGTTTTTCAAATTAAAATCCAAGCAATCAAAACTATTCAGGTTTTTCTGTACAAAAAGGTATTCAGCAAAAGTCCCCCGATTAGTCCTCACAGTTCTCGCAGTCGCTGAAGTCACCGAAGATGTAGTAGCACTGTTCTGAGAAAGTGATCTTGTTGACCGTGTGGCGGATGAAGCCGGCCTTCAGCAGGTTACTGGCGTACTTCCGGGCCTCACGGCGGTCCTGGAAGCCCTCGATGTGGTGGTAAAGCCACTCCACCACGTCAGAACCTGGACAGACAGACAGACACACACACACACAGGGACACAGACACACACACACAGGGACACAGACACACACACACAGGGACACAGACAGACACACACAGGGACACAGACAGACACACACAGGGACACAGACAGACACACACACACACACACACACACACAGGGACACACACACAGGAACACAGGGACACACACACACAGGGACACAGACACACACAGGGACACACACACACAGGGGGACACACACACACACACACACACACACAGACAGGGGGACACACACACACACACACACACAGACAGGGACACACACACACAGACAGGGACACACACACACAGGGACACACACACACAGGGACACACACACACACACACAGGGACACACACACAGGGACACACACACAGGGACACACACACAGGGACACACACACACGGACACACAGGGACACACGGACACACACACACACACACACACACACAGACAGGGACACACACACACACACACAGACAGGGACACACACACACACACACACACAGGGACACACATACACACACACACACAGGGACACACACACACACACAGGGACACACACACACACAGGGACACACACAGGGACGAGAAAAGAGAGGAGAAAAACAGGAGAGATTTGCTTTATCAGTTCAATCCCCTTTTCCATCCACAGCGTCACTACGGCCCTCAGTGTTCACGCTCTCTCACCCAGGAAGGCGTTGGGGATGGTGATCTTGAGCCACATCCTGTCTCTGACCTCCAGGCCAGACTCTGGGGACGCCATGGCCTTAGCCACCGACGCCATGTCAGAGTGGAGGGACAGGTTGAAGTCATCAAAACCTGGAGAGAGAGAGAGACAGAGACACAGAGAGAGAGAGACACACAGAGAGAGAGGGAGAGAGAGAGAGAGAGAGAGAAGTCATGCTCAACATGAGCTCCTGATTTATTTCAGTTTTTTTGTTTTTAGAATGAGATAAACACTCAAATCTAAAAAGAATTCAAGACAAGAAGTCTATTAAATCAGAATAGGAAAAAAAAAGTAACTTTGCGCCTCAAATTAAGAAGTTTTGACTCTCACTAGCTAGCTACACAACAAAAACCTAGCCAGCAGGCTAACAAGCCAGCCAGCCAGAAAATGGAGCTAGAACAAACCTAGCAAGGGGAGTTAATACAACTACATCAAACAACCAAACTGAGTAAATCAAAAAGAAGCACGGACTCTAACTTTAAACATATCTTCTGTTTTTGTGTGTGAAGATGTTTCATTATTTTTGCTGGTTTTTGAGCTAAACAGGCGCTAGCTAGCAAACAGACAAACAAACGTGGTTGCCATGGCAACGGTGCAGCAGAACAGATCAGCAGCAGTAGCAGAGCCCACAGGCACCATGTCCCCACTCCCCCTCAGCACTGAGTCCATTCTCTACCCCCCAGAGGCCAAAAATGACACAACGAGGAAAGCTTTTAAACAGAATCTACTAAAGGGGAGGCCAGAAACCCTTTTCATAGACCTCTACAAAAACGGTGATGTGAGTAATCTCATCTTTCTCACTGACCAGCCAAATGCATGGCGCTCAGCAGTCTGCTCTCAATACCCATCCGTAAAGAAAGAGGGAATCTGTAATGGGTGGAAGCTGAAAGTCAAAGAGACAGACGACCCTGACAGCACCATGATAACAATCAACCTCTACAAGACTGGGACTGTCATGGTGCAAGGTAACCTTAGGCTGTTTGAAACAGACTTTCAGACCATTAAGGAGAGAGCAGAGAGAGAGGACACCACCAGTGACATGCCCTCCCACAAGACAAACTCCACCAGCACCACCCTCACTATCCCCACCCAAAAAGGCACATCCAGCACCTCTCTTCCCACCATAGTGGAGGACACGCCCCAGGAGGAGCGACCCCCTCAGTGCAGAGCAGGCTAAGGGCCTCCTCACCACCATGGCTGCCATGAGGGATCAGTTCACCACCTGGAGGGAGAGGTGGTCCTGCTCAGGGAGAGTGTGAGCAAACAGCAACCAGACATCCACACCTTAGAGGAGCTCCTAACCAAGGTGCGGACAGAGCAGGACAGCAGCCTTGCAACACAGCTGAAAGAAGTTCAGCAAGAGAGAGACGGACTCAAGAGAGAGCTGGCTGATCTAACAAAGGAGGTGAGAGAGCTCCAAAAAGACAGGCAGAGCAGTAATAACGAGCTGACCACACTAAGAGAGGAGCTGCAGGAGAGAAGGAGAACAGAGGACAGGCTGCAGGAGTAGCTAGATCACCACTCTATGACCTGCCCTCACACAGCAGATGAGCCCACCTCAACCAGCCAGGCCTCCCCAGCCCTCCCCCCCAGCCCCCCGAGATCACAGAGACAACACCCCGGATCAGCACCCTGGACCCCACAGCCACGGCCACAGCACCACCAACCTCAATGCCCACCACATCCAGCACAGCACAGACCACCCCAGCCCAGCTTCAGACCCACCCAGACGAGGCCTAACAGTTATGAAGTCTTTTTACGTTGCATGTTGGAATTTACAAGGTTTGAAGTCCTCTGCTTTTGGGCTAAAGAGCAGAAACCCAGGCTTCCTTAAATAAATGGATGATGTTGATATTGTAGTACAACAGGAAACATGGTGCAGAGGTGATGTTTCCACTGGCTGTCCACTAGGTTATAGGGAGATAATCGTACCATCCACCAAATTAAAAGGAATCACACAGGGCAGAGACTTGGGGAAATGCTAATATGGTATAAATCTGAACTAACTAATTCAATCGAATTGATCAAAACAAGAGAATTCTTTATCTGGCTAAAAATCAACAAGGAGGCTAAGTTAACAGATAAAAACATCTTCCTCTGTGCCACATACAGTGAGGGAAAAAGGTATTTGATCCCCTGCTGATTTTGTACGTTTGCCCACTGACAAAGAAATGATCAGTCTATAATTTTAATGGTAGGTTTATTTGAACAGTGAGAGACAGAATAACAACAAAAAAATCCAGAAAAACGCATGTCAAAAATGTTCTAAATTAATTTGCATTTTAATGAGGGAAATAAGTATTTGACCCCTCTGCAAAACCTGACTTAGTACTTGGTGGCAAAACCCTTGTTAGCAATCAAAGAGGTCAGACGTTTCATGTAGTTGGCCACCAGGTTTGCACACATCTCAGGAGGGATTTTGTTCCACTCCTCTTTGCAGATCTTCTCCAAGTCATTAAGGTTTCGAGGCTGACGTTTGGCAACTCGAACCTTCAGCTCCCTCCACAGATTTTCTATGGGATTAGGGTCTGGAGACTGGCTAGGCCACTCCAAGACCTTAATGTGCTTCTTCTTGAGCCACTCCTTTTTTGCCTTGGCCGTGTGTTTTGGGTCATTGTCATGCTGGAATACCCATCCACGACCCATTTTCAATGCCCTGGCTGAGGGAAGGAGGTTCTCACCCAAGATTTGACGGTACATGGCCCCGTCCATCGTCCCTTTGATGCGGTGAAGTTGTCCTGTCCCCTTAGCAGAAAAACACCCCCAAAGCATAATGTTTCCACCTCCATGTTTGACGGTGGGGATGGTGTTCTTGGGGTCATAGGCAGCATTCCTCCTCCTCCAAACACGGTGAGTTGAGTTGATGCCAAAGAGCTCGATTTTGGTCTCATCTGACCACAACACTTTCACCCAGTTCTCCTCTGAATCATTCAGATGTTCATTGGCAAACTTCAGACGGCCCTGTATATGTGCTTTCTTGAGCAGGGGGACCTTGCGGGCGCTGCAGGATTTCAGTCCTTCACGGCGTAGTGTATTACCAATTGTTTTCTTGGTGACTATGGTCCCAGCTGCCTTGAGATCATTGACAAGATCCTCCCGTGTAGTTCTGGGCTGATTCCTCACCGTTCTCATGATCATTGTAACTCCACGAGGTGAGATCTTGCATGGAGCCCCAGGCCGAGGGAGATTGACAGTTATTTTGTGTTATCTTCCATTTGTGAATAATCGCACCAACTGTTGTCACCTTCTCTCCAATCTGCTTGGCAGTGGTCTTGTAGCCCATTCCAGCCTTTTTAGGTCTACAATCTTGTCCCTGATATCCTTGGAGAGCTCTTTGGTGTTGGCCATGGTGGAGAGTTTGGAATCTGATTGATTGATTGCTTCTGTGGACAGGTGTCTTTTATACAGGTAACAAGCTGAGATTAGGAGCACTCCCTTTAAGAGTGTGCTCCTAATCTCAGCTCGTTACCTGTATAAAAGACACCTGGGAGCCAGAAATCTTTCTGATTGAGAGGGGGTCAAATACTTATTTCCCTCATTAAAATGCAAATCAATTTACAACATTGTTGACATGCGTTTTTCTGGATTTTTGTTGTTGTTATTCTGTCTCTCACTGTTCAAATAAACCTACCATTAAAATTATAGACTGATCATTTCTTTGTCAGTGGGCAAACGTACAAAATCAGCAGGGGATCAAATACTTTTTTCCCCTCACTGTACATTCCCCCCTCAGAGTCACCCTACTTCAATGAAGAGAGTTTCTCCATTCTAGAGGGGGAGATTAGTCACTTTCAGGCCCAAGGCAATGTGCTGGTCTGTGGAGACCTGAATGCTAGAACAGCAGAAGAACTAGACACTATTAACAGTCATGGGGACAAACACCTACCAGGAAGCAACAACCTTTCCCTCCCCACATACCCCCCCAGAAACAACTATGACAAAGTGAAAAACAAAAATGGAGTACAGCTCCTGAAGCTCTGTCGAACACTGGGTCTGTACATAGTCAATGGTAGGCTAAGAAGGGACTCTTTTGGTAGGTACACCTACAGCTCATCCCTTGGCAGGAGTACTGTAGACTACTTCATCACCGACCTCAACCCAGAGTCTCTCAGAGCCTTCACAGTCAGCCCACTAACACCTCTCTCAGACCACAGTAAAATCACAGTGTATCTGAGAAGAGCAGAACCCAACCATGAAGCATCACGGCCCAATAAATCACATGGTACTAAACAGACCTATAGATGGAGTGCAAACAGTACAGAAATCTAACAAAAAGCAATTAGTAGCCAAAAAATACAATCTCTCCTGGACAACTTTTTAGCCTTAACATTCTCCTACAGCAATGAAGGTGTAAATTTGGCCGTTTGGAACATAAACGTTATATTTGACAAATTAGCCTCCTTGGCTAATCTTAAGAAACATAAGAGCAAACCAAAAATAATAGATAATGAAAAATGGTTTGATAACATGGCCTCTCCTATCATTGCTACGCTGACGATACACAACTAATCTTCTCCTTTCCCCCTTCTGATAACCAGGTGGCGAATCGCATCTCTGCATGTCTGGCAGACATATCAGTATGGATGACGGATCACCACCTCAAGCTGAACCCTGGCAAGACGGAGCTGCTCTCCTCCCGGGGAAGGACTGCCCGTTCCATGATCTCGCCATCACGGTTGACAACTCCGTTGTGTTCCTCCTCCCAGAGTGCGAAGAGCCTTGGCGTGACCCTGGACAACACCCTGTCGTTCTCCGATAAACATCAAGGCGGTGACCCGATCCTGCGGGTTCATGCTCTACAAACATTCGGAGAGTAGACCCTGCCTTACACAGGAAGCGGCACAGGTCCTAATCCAGGCACTTGTCATTCCCGTCTGGATTACTGCAACTCGCTGTTGGCTGGGCTCCCTGCCTGTGCCATTAAACCCCTACAACTCATCCAGAATGCCGCAGCCCGTCTGGTGTTCAACCTTCCCAAGTTCTCTCACGTCACCCCCCCTCCTCCGCACACTCCACTGGCTTCCAGTTGAAGCTCGCATCCGTTACAAGACCATGGTGCTTGCCTATGGAGCAGTGAGGGGAACGGCACCTCCGTACCTTCAGGCTCTGATCAGTCCCTACACCCAAACGAGGGCATTGCGTTCATCCACCTCTGGCCTGCTGGCTCCCATTCCTCTGCGGAAGCATAGTTCCCGCTCAGCCCAGTCAAAACTGTTCGCTGCTCTGGCACCCCAATGGTGGAACAAGCTCCCTCACGACGCCAGGACAGCGGAGTCACTCACCACCTTCCGGAGACATTTGAAACCCCACCTCTTTAAGGAATACCTGGGATAGGATAAAGTAATCCTTCTAAAAAAAAAAAAAAAATTTGGAAAGTGGTTATCCCACTAGCTATAGGGTGAATGCACCAATTTGTAAGTCGCTCTGGATAAGAGCGTCTGCTAAATGACGTAAATGTGCCCTTGAGCAAGGCACTTAACCCTAATTGCTCCTGTAAGTCGCTCTGGATAAGAGCATCTGCTAAATGACTAAAATGTAAATGTAATAATGATTGCAAAAATCTAAGAAAGTAATTGAGAAATATATCTAATCAAAAACACAGAGACCCAGACAACAAAAATATACGCCTTCAATATGGGGAAACACTGAAGCAATACAAACACACCCTAAGAACAAAAAAAGAACAGCACATTAGAAATCAGCTGGATGTGATTGAGGAATCCATAGAATCAAACCACTTCTGGGAGAATTGGAATAAATTAAACAAACCTCATAATGAGGAATTGGCTATCCAAAATGGGGATATGTGGAGAAATCACTTTGCAAACCTCTACAGAAATATAACAAAGAGTCCAGAACAACAAGATATACAAGAAAAATTACAAATCCTTGAATCAGCAGTCAAAGACTATCATAATCCTGTGGATACCCCAATTACAGAACAAGAATTATTGGAAAAACTTTGCACTCTCCAACCCAAAAAGGCCTGTGGTGCTGATGGTATTTTAAATGAAATGATCAAATATACAGAACACAAATTCTAATTGGCTATACTCAAACTCTTCAACAATATCCTAACTGCAGGTATTTCCCCCGATATTTGGAACCAAGGATTGATCACACCAATTTATAAAAATGGAGACAAATTTGACCCAAATAATTACAGAGGAATTTGCGTTAACAGCAACTTGGGGAAAATTCTCTGCAGTATCATTAATAAATAAAAAAAGAATATAATGATATTCCAAAAAAAGGTCCGGAAATTTACATTTACGTCATTTAGCAGACGCTCTTATCCAGAGCGACTTACAGTTAGTGAGTGCATACATTATTTTTATTTTTTATTTTTTCATACTGGCCCCCCGTGGGAATCGAACCCACAACCCTGGCATGCAAACGCTATGCTCTACCAACTGAGCTACATCCCTGCCGGCCATTCCCTCCCCTACCCTGGACGACGCTGGGCCAATTGTGCGCCGCCCCATGGGTCTCCCGGTCGCGGCCGGCTACGACAGAGCCTGGATTCGAACCAGGATCTCTAGTGGCACAGCTAGCACTGCGATGCAGTGCCTTAGACCACTGCGCCACTCGGGAGAGCGAGAGGATGATTTCTAATTGGACACAGTTCTATTAGAACACACCAAAAAGTACACATATCTAGGACTAAATATCAGCAACACAAGTAGCTTTCACATGGCTGTGAATGAGCTGAGAGACGAAGCAAGAAGAGCATTCTATGCATTAAAAGGAATATTAAAATCGAAATTCCAATTAGAATCTGGCTCAAAACTGTCCAATCAGTTATAGAACCAATTGCTCTATATGGCAGCGAAGTATGGGTTCCGCTCTCCAATACTGAATTTACCAAATGGGACAAACATCCAATCGAAATACTGCATGCAGAGTTTTGCAAGACTGTATTGCAAGTGCAAAGGAAAACTCCAAATAATGCATGTAGAGCAGAATTGGGCCAATACCCCCTCCTTATTCGAATAGAAAAAATAGCCACATTTTACAACCATCTAAAATCAAGTGACCCCAAAACATTCCATCACACAGCGCTACTATGTCAATAGATGAAACAAGAGAAGAGTCCCCTCAGCCAGCTGGTTCTGAGGCTCAGTTCACTAACCAAAATTATTATTGCTGTTGGTCCCACCATTTTTGTTATATCTATACTTTGACAATATAAGTAATTTTACTTGCCATGTCAATAAAGTCTATTGAATTGAAATTAATTTAATTGAGCGAGAGACAGGGGGAGAGAGAGAGAGACAGGGAGAGAGAGAGAGCGAGAGACAGGGAGAGGAGAGAGCGAGAGACAGGGAGAGAGAGAGAGCGAGAGACAGGGAGAGAGAGAGGCGAGAGACAGGGAGAGAGAGCGCAGAGACAGGGAGAGAGAGCGAGAGACAGGGAGAGAGAGAGAGCGAGAGACAGGGAGAGAGAGGAGAGCGTAGAGAGGGAGAGAGAGAGAGAGCGAGAGAGAGACAGGGAGAGAGAGAGAGAGAGAGCGAGAGACAGGGAGAGAGAGAGAGAGAGCGAGGACAGGGAGAGAGAGAGAGAGAGCGAGAGACAGGGAGAGAGAGAGAGTGAGAGACAGGGGAGAGAGAGAGAGAGAGAGAGAGCGAGAGACAGGGAGAGAGAGAGAGAGACGAAGACAGGGAGAGAGAGAGAGCGAGAGACAGGGAGGAGAGAGAGAGCGAGAGACAGGGAGAGAGAGAGCGAGAGACAGGGAGAGAGAGAGCGAGCGAGAGACAGGGAGAGGACAGAGAGAGCGAGAGACAGGGAGAGAGAGAGAGCGAGAGACAGGGAGAGAGAGAGAGCGAGAGAGCGAGAGACAGGGAGAGAGAGAGAGCGAGAGAGCGAGAGACCGGGAGGAGAGACAGAGAGAGCGAGAGACAGGGAGAGAGACAGAGAGAGCGAGAGACAGGGAAAAGAGACAGAGAGAGCGAGAGACAGGGAGAGAGAGCGAGAGAGAGCGAGAGACAGGGAGAGAGAGCGAGAGAGAGCGAGAGACAGGGAGAGAGAGCGAGAGACAGGGAGAGAGAGAGAGAGCGAGAGACAGGGAGAGAGAGAGAGAGCGAGAGAGAGCGAGAGAGAGAGAGAGAGCGAGAGACAGGGAGGGAAGAGGGGAGAGAGAGAGCGAGAGACAGGGAGAGAGAGAGAGAGCGAGAGACAGGGAGAGAGAGAGAGCGAGAGACAGGGAGAGAGAGAGAGCGAGAGACAGGGAGAGAGAGAGAGCGAGAGAACAGGGAGACAGGGAGAGAGCGAGAGACAGGGAGAGAGCGAGAGACAGGGAGAGAGCGAGAGACAGGAGAGAGGAGCGAGCGGAGAGACAGGGAGAGAGAGCGAGCGAGAGACCGGGAGGAGAGCGAGCGAGAGACAGGGAGAGAGAGCGAGCGATGCGAGAGACAGGGAGAGAGAGCGAGCGAGCGAGAGACAGGGAGAGAGAGCGAGCGAGCGAGAGACAGGGAGAGAGAGCGAGCGAGCGAGAGACAGGGAGAGAGAGCGAGCGAGAGACAGGGAGAGAGAGCGAGCGAGCGAGAGAAAAGGGAGAGAGAGCGAGCGAGCGAGAGACAGGGAGAGAGAGCGAGCGAGCGAGAGACAGGGAGAGAGAGCGAGCGAGCGAGAGACAGGGAGAGAGAGCGAGCGAGCGAGAGACAGTGAGAGAGAGCGAGCGAGCGAGAGACAGGGAGAGAGAGCGAGCGAGCGAGAGGACAGGGAGAGAGAGCGAGCGAGCGACAGACAGAGAGAGAAGCGAGCGAGCGAGAGACAGGGAAGAAAAGAGCGAGAGACAGGGAGAGAGAGCGAGCGAGCGAGAGACAGGGAGAGAGAGCGAGCGAGCGAGAGACAGGGAGAGAGAGCGAGCGAGAGACAGAGAGAGAGAGCGAGCGAGCGAGAGACAGAGCGAGCGAGAGACAGAAGAGAGAGAGAGAGCGAGCGAGAGACAGAGCGCTCGAGAGACCAGAGATAGAGAGCGAGCGCTACGAGACAGAGAGAGAGAGCGAGCGAGAGACAGAGAGGAGGCGAGCGAGAGACAGCGAGAGAGAGCGAGAGAAGAGAGCGGAGACCGAGAGAGAGAGCGAGAGACAGAGAGAGAGGAGCGAGAAGACAGAGAGAGAGCGCGAGAGACAAGAGGAGAGCGAGAGAACAGAGAAGAGAGCGAGAGACAGCGAGAGAGAGCGAGAGACAGAGAATGAGAGAGGAGAGACAGAAGAGATCAGACAGGGAGAGAGCGAGACACAGGGAGAGACAGACATGGAGAGAGCGAGACAGGGAGAGAGCTGCAGAGGACAGGGAGAGAGAGAGAGATACAGGGAGAGAGAGAGAAAGAGAGACGGGAGGCGAGAGAGAGAGAGAGACAGGGAGAGAGAGAGAGAGAGACAGGGAGAGCGAGAGAGACAGGGAAACGAGGGGAAAAAGAGAGAGAGGAGAGACGAGCGGAGAGAGAGGGAAAGAGTGAATGGAGGAATTGAACAGAGCGTGAGAGTAGACAAAGTTGAAAAGAGAGAATGCTAAAATAGAGACGAAAGAGATAAAAAGAGAAAGAGTGGGGTACTCACGTTCTGTCTCAGTGACGGAGGAAGAGGTGATTGTGCTGAGAGCGGAGCTGGCGGTGTAGGGGGGGTAAGCCCCCGTCAGGGCCACCGAGTGGTTCACCCACACTGCTGGGTCTATTGGCCGGATCGGCTCATCTACAAAGAGAGGGGGGGGGAGGGACGACAAAATATCTAATTTATTCCATCTGAAACATAATTTATTTAGCATTTCTGAGGATAATGTATTGATGGCATCACTATATAAAGACCATAGAGTATCTGTACAAGTTAACTACTCAGTCTTCCAACTATCTCTATGGTAGAGACGAGGCGTGCAGCCTACTACTCACTGCGAGGGAGGGTGAAGTAGCCCTGAGGTGACGGGTCCCAGCACTTGGCCACTGTCAGGATGATGGGTCTGAGAGAGAGAGCGAGACAGGTCATCATCACCACAATCGTCACCACATGTCAACTGACCAGACATTTCACACAAAGACAACTGGTTGGGAATGTCAACGTGAATGTATTTATGTTAGCCACTGACCCCGGTTTGTGTACAATCTCCCTCAGTACGCGTACCGCGTCATCGTTGCTCATGTTCTCAAAGTTGATGTCGTTCACCTTGAAGAGAAAGACAGAGTCAGTAAACATGAATGGTTGAATCCTAAGTCAAGAACAAATGGCTCACGTAATCACCAGTTGTAGCATGGCTATCTAGTGACATCCTGTAGTCACCCAGTCAGCCCGCACCTGTAGGAGCATGTCCCCGGGTTCGATGCGTCCGTCTGCGGCCACCGCCCCTCCCTTCATGATGGAGCCGATGTAGATGCCCCCATCTCCCCTCTCGTTGCTCTGCCCCACGATACTGATACCCAGGAAGTTATACTTCTCTACAGGGGGGGCAAAGGAGAGGAAGAGGTGATGAGATTGAGCTTTGTCCCAAAAGGCACCCTATTCCCTAAATGGTGCACTACTTTTCACCACGGCCCATAGGGAGGTCAATAGGGCAGAAATGTGTGAGGGGTGGATTTCTATAGCCTGGTCGCTGCACTTGCGTTTCACTTCACAGAATGTGAGCCATTGCAAGATCAGGCTGGTTTCACCAGGCTAGGATTTGTAGGCCATTTCCAGAAGAAAAATAAATAAATAATGGACGGGCAGAGTACTGGTTAGGTCGACGGTAGGTTTGAGGTATAAAATACCGTGAAAAAGCATGACAGTCCAAGAGAAGGTCAGAAAAACAGATGGGAGAGGTAAAAACAGACGATGGAGAGACATTAGAAGGGAACAGTGTAACGTTACTGACCCATGTTGAGTGTGACGGTGATGATGTTCAGAGACATGGTGGAGTCTGTCACACTGCTGAACGACGACGCCTGGGACAAGACATGGGAAAAACACAGTAAAAATACAATACATTCCAACGCAGAATGGGCCATTTCTGACTTGCGATGTTTAAAAGTAAAAAAATAAAGAAAACTATACCCTTTCTAGCCTCGGGGGGCGCTGTTTCCTGCGTCTGCGGTGGCGTTTGAGCAGCCTGGACGCCGTGCTCTGCTCCGTGGAGCCGCTGAATCGGCTCATGGTGTCGTCCTCCTCAGAGTCACAGAAACTGGTGGTGTCCAGCTCGCTGCTCATCACAGTGGTAGCGCTCTCATAGCCCGCTAGGTGTTGCTCCATGCCGCTCTGGCCATTCATCCTCGGCCCTGAGGCACCACAGAGAGAGACAGCGTGAGGGGAGAGGAGAGAGGGCGAGAGAAAAAGAGGCTTTACTATGACTCATGTTTAGTCAGGTTGTCAATGTCAATTGCTTTTACCACTAGAACAAGGGTTGTGATTGGTAGGTACGAAATGGGAGAAAACATTTTGAAAACGGGAAGCCTGACATTGGCCAATTAGAACCGATCATTGTCATTTTCCGTTTTTTCCTACGTGTGCCCTACTGAACACAACCCAGTGCTGTTCCATCATGTGACAGAGTGTGTGCTGTGTAGTGCTCACCACGTTGCTCCATGGCCTCCCTGTGTCTGGGTCTCTCTCTCCTAAAGGACACCACAGACTCTGTTTCTGACTGGTCATCCAGGTTCTCCACACTGCCTGCTGCATTGGGACTGGATAGGGAGAGGAGAGGGGAAAAGTGGGGAAAACATAGAATTATAATTATTTGGTCCATTCTACTCATTCATAGTCCCCGTGCCCAAGGACTCTAAGATAACTGCCAAAATAAATACCGACCCGTAGCACTGACGTCTGTGCCATGAAGTGCTTTGAAAGGCTGGTCATGGCTCACATCAAAAGCATTATCCCAGAAACCCCAGACCCACTCCAATTTGCATACCGCCCCAACAGATCCACAGATGAAAGCAATCTCTATGGCACTCCCACTGCCCTTTCCACCTGGACAAGAGGAACACCTACGTGAGAATGCTATTCATTGACTACAGCTCAGCATTCAACACCATAGTGCCCTCTAAGCTCATCACTAAGCTAAGGATCCTGGGACACGGGCCGCCCCCAGGTGGTAAGGGTAGGTAACAACACATCTTCCACACTGATCCTCAACACGGGGGCCCCTCAGGGGTGCGTGCTCAGTCCCCTCCTGTACTCTCTGTTCACCCATGACTGCATGGCCAGGCACGACTCCAACACCATCATTAAGTTTGCCGACGACACAACAGTGGTAGGCCTGATCACCGACTACGATGAGACAGCCTATAGGGAGGAGGTCAGAGACCTGGCCGTGTGGTGCCAGGACAACAACCTCTCCCTCAACGTGACCAAGACAAAGGAGATGATTGTGGACTACAGGAAAAAAAAAGAGGACTGAGCACGCCCCCATTCTCATCGACGGGGCTGTAGTGGAACAGGTTGAGAGCTTCAAGTTCCTTGGTGTCCACATCACCAACGAACTATCATGGTCCAAACACACCAAGACAGTCGTGAAGAGGGCACGACAAAGCCTATTCCCCCTCAGGAGACTGAAAAGATTTGGCATGGGTCCTCAGATCCTCAAAAAATTCTACAGCTGCACCATCGAGAGCATCCTGACTGGTTGCATCACCGCCTGGTATGGCAACTGCTTGGCCTCCGACCGCAAGGCACTACAGAGGGTAGTGCGTACGGCCCAGTACATCACTGGGGCCAAGCTTCCTGCCATCCAGGACCTCTATACCAGGCGGTTGTCAGAGGAAGGCCCTCAAAATTGTCAAAGACTCCAGCCACCCTAGTCATAGACTGTTCTCTCTGCTACCGCACGGCAAGCGGTACCGGAGTGCCAAGTCTAGGTCCAAAAGACTTCTCAACAGCTTCTACCCCCAAGCCATAAGACTCCTGAACAGCTAATCATGGCTACCCGGACTATTTGCACTGCCCCCCCCCACCCCATCCTTTTTACGCTGCTGCTACTCTGTTAATTATTTAGCTAACTTAATTACCCACAGTACATATTCAATACTCAATAGCGTGCCCTGTGACTCGCAACGTACCCCCCTTATACTCCTACTGTCTATTTACTTCTGCCTTTTTTTCCATTTTTTTGTGTTGTTTATTTTATTTTTTTGTAAAATAGATGCACTGTTGGTAGGGCTGTGTAGATTCGTAATGTCTGCACCGTTGATTCGGCGCATGTGACCATAAAATTGATATGAGATGGTATTGTATGTCGGCTCTGTGACATACATTATCTAATAAACCACAAATAGCAGCACATATAACCTGTACTCAAATAGGCTACAAGCCAGATCATATTCCAACCTGAGGGCAGATAGCTACCATATAATGTGTAGGGTGTCCACCCACTCTGCCCAGGGCGGGTGAAACGCACTTTGGTGATGAAATGTAACTTCAATATGTTATAAAATACATTTTACCAAGACAAATATGATTCTTTAATGTTCTGAATCGTTCAGTGGGGTCTTTCTCTAACATATCATAAAAATGATATCCAAAAAGTCAGATTTCGTAACCTAATATACCCGATAATACACACCGAGCTCTGTTGACAGAAGCGCCGCTTTCTCGCAGCGACTTTTGAGGACTTTACATTTTGTGGTGGTCGTCTGCAAAGTTGTTTCAGCTGGTCGCAAAAAGCTAAATTAACACGAGCTGAATTAAATATAAAATACTTTGAAAATAAAAAGCTTGCGGTATGCTCAGTGCTCCATTGACATTTCACTGAGATAAGATTCCTCACAAAAACAAGCATACCTCATTAATATGAAAAGTGTATACTCAAATCTGAATTTTCAATCACTTTGAGCGATTACTTTAGTCTGCCTTGAGTGGTAGATGGGCGAGTTTGACCATTCCATTGGTCCCATTGTGTCAGGCACACTCAATCTAGTGCAGCTAATGATTTTAAACACTATTTGAACCCAGGTTTGCTGTGTATTATGATCTTCTAGACAGGTGCTTAGAGTCAATGGGCGGCACAGGCTAAGATCATCTTGAAATGGGCTGTTGTATTTAACAGTAGGTAACATGATGGCTGGAGTGAACAGAATACACTAGATACAGTGTGAAAGATACAGCAGAGTGAGACTAGGATACTGTGATTGTGGGAAAGGGTGTGTGTGTGTGTGTGTGTGTGTGTGTGTGTGTGTGTGCATGCATGTGTGTAAGTACTGGAACGATGGGGGTCTGGAGTCACCGATGCCCCCGGTCCTCTCGACAGGTGGGGGTGGGAGGGGAGGAGGAGGGGGTGAGGGCAGGGGCCGGACTTCTGCTGGGGGTGGAGGAAGGACTGGTGATACCAGCTCTGCTGCTGCTGCTGGGGTGTCTGATGATACCAACTGAGGAGAATAGAGCAGAGATGGATGGAGGGACAGAGAGGGGTGGGACAGGCGGGGGAAGTAGGGGAGGAAGTGGGGGGAAAGGAGTTGAAAAGGGATGATAGTGAGGATGGAGGATAAAAAAGGAGGATGAGGGCAAAATAATTAAGTAAGAAGCAGAGGAGAGCATACGAGAGACGGGGGGGGGAAATAGGTTGAAGAGGGGGAGAGAAAATAAATATGGGGTTAAAAGAAAGGGAGGGAGGGAGGGGAAAAAATGGGGGTAAGAGATGTCAATTACTTTGACACAAACACATCTTTACTCCTTTGAGGAAAATCTCAGGGGCCAACTGAAATGCTAACCCAACACTTAGCCCGTCTCCCTCCATTACATACCCAGAGTGCTTTAGAGAATGAAAACGGACGCACACACACAAACATCACAGACACACACACTCCTCCATGGATGGCTGCAAGGCAAAAGGAAACAACCACTGGCATTCTATTTCCTACAGACCTAGCATACACCTATACACACACCAGTCTGTATAGAAACCACAGATTCTGGGTTTCTATACATTTCTGTTGTTGTATGAAGAGGGACTTAACATTGAACAAACTACATGCACTCAAATGTGTTTGAGCTTTGTGGATAAAGTTCTGTCTTGAACTTAACCTTGAGAACCGGTTTGCGGTTTTGATTGAATATCCCTGCCCCAAGTGACAGAACACTTTGCCCCCCTTTCTTTAAACTTTCCTCCCTCGCTCTCTCTCTCCTCTAATGGCTGTTTGACCATAGAGCACTCCATCATCCTATCATGTATCCGTCCCTATGGTCTCCTCTGTTTGTCCAAATCCCTCTCCCTTGTTTCTTGTCCTCCTTCTTATGCACTTAGCAGATGCATTCCTCCCAACCCCCTTATCCTGGACAAGTCACAATGTTTTGTCTGGAGGACTCAAGGTAATAATGTTCTCTAGGGTAGGGTAAGGTAATCATAAGCGGGGGAATTTGAGGATGTAAGAAATCCTTTGTTTCTGTCAGTGTTACGTTCCCAGACCAAGGTGTTTATGATAGTGGGTTTTTGTAAACGCTCTACTAGTAAAAGCAGGGCCCTAGCTACAGAGGTCGTTAAAGAAATGTCTGCCATGTTGGCACCAAGCGTTCCATGACAATAACATTCTAATTGGCATTCTTAGAAGATAATGTAATGGTTTGGAACTTTTGACGCCAGCATGGCGCCCGTTTAAACTCTCAATTCCAGAATGAGTTTGCCAGAGTCTGTAGGCTACATCTCTGGCTCTGGTTCAAAGGTAATATATTTGAGCTGCTAGGTCCATTTCAGTAGTATTGTTTCGACTTGGGAACCTGACTTTTACAATTCAGTCCTGGAAAAATAATTTAAAGCGATTCAGGAAGTACCCCCCCCAGTCTCCCCTTCTCCTGCTGGGTCTTTTACTGGTCCAGGATACTGGTGTACAGTCTACCTCTCCCAACTCTGTTCTTACCCAGGACACCACTCGTCCGTTGAAGCAGGGGAGCTTGGCACTTTCATCTGAGATCTCTTCCTTCACCACCCTGAAGAAAGAAAGAAAGAAAGCGAGGAGTTTGATTCGATTGTGATTAGGCCAAGCGTAACAAACACAGAGAGACAAATACTCGTACACAGAGACAGATGTAAAGAGCAACATGAGGATACCGCTGTGTTTGTGCTTGTTTTCCCAATGACTCACCATCATTACCCAAACCACAATGGAGATAGATAAACACAAACTCCCTACAACTAAAACTCATGGACCAGCCGTTGTTTCTCAAGACTTCTATAAAAACAACTCCATCAGACTATTCTTTCCCTCTGCATCTACCTCTTCACTCTTAAATGGACAGGTAGCATCTGCTGTATAATGTATCTCTGTCTGTCTAGCCACAATGTTATTACCGCAGTACTTAGGACCTGGGCTGGACACGAGTACTGTGTAGAGACGACACTTAACCGACTGCCCTGACTAGAATCAGGTCGATCGTGAGCTACTGGGCAGCCGCAGCTATGAGTAGCTCAACATACAATTCTGAAAGTAACCTACATGCAATTTCCACCGCAAACAAATCTCAGAAGTATCAGACACCGCAAGCTCCCAGCTACTATCTATTCAACGCTACTTGACATTATGCCACCCCTGGTTAGACACGATTGGCTTAAAAAAGCCAAATCTAACAATATCTGCCAAATAATTTCCAGCAATTTCTCCCCCGTCTGTCTGTGTGGTACGCGCGTTTGTCTATCACGCCGTCTGTAGCCAGTTGATGTGATAGGCCTAACCATCTTGTGGGTTGATAGAAATAATTTCCCCAAAGCCTTCTCAGTGAAATGTTAACAGTAAAGTAGGCTTACCTGGCAGAAGTATATCATGAATAAGTATATCATTTGTATTTATTATTTGCAAACTTTGACATTAAATGAGCAGCAGCAGTACAGAACCATCGCTAGACCGGCACATTAGACGGCACATTCCTCACTCGCTACATGCACAATTAAAGGGCCAGATGCACAATTAAAAGGGCCAGATGTGCAATTAATGGGGAATTACACCAAACAAATCTACATTTGTTAGTTTTCTTCCAGACCTAGAAAAATATTTCAGATGTGATTTTAGCATTGACATGGATTCAGAACATCCAAATTCATTGTTTCTCTACTGAACTATTGTTATTTTGCAAGTGACACTAAAACAAATCTAAAACCAGGAAAAATTAAACAGAACACATAATTTGGGAAAATATTTAACAGAATTTGGGGGGTGGAGAAATCACAGATTTTATAGAGACCCCCTTAGAGTTGTTTTTTAACCATTATTTTACCAGGTACAGTATATTGACAGAAAACAGTGCAATACTTTCTCTTGTACACTAAGGACCCGGGGAAGAGTTGCAGGGGAGATGAGAAGGTGCGTATTTGAAAGGTAGAAAAAAAAAGGAAAAAAATAGCAGCTCTCATGCTAGAAAAGGTTGGAGACCACTGCAATAGCCTATGTAAATCTACTATCCCCCATAGTAGAAAGGTTCACCTATTCTATTGGTCAGCTTGTCGAGAAATAAATATCCTATTCCAGACAGACTCTGGGACAGTTGTGGGACAATAGATCCCAAATTCATACAACCAGAAGCCCTAGGCTACATTACAAAGAAACTTTAAAAAGCAATGTGTCTCGTGCAACAGATCAGAACATTTAGCTTAAAATGTTGATACACTATTATTTCTTCACATTATAAGTGCAGCAATGTGCACAAGGCAGCAGGCCACGCTCAAATGTTCGTTCCATAATGCAATTAGCGGGAAACCACCATTGTCAAAAAGGCCAGCGCACATGCTAGCTGTTTCATGCAACAGAGATTCAAATAGAAAGACATTTTGAAAGAGAGGAGATCTAATAGGCTACTTTGAAGCAAGGTAAAACATGCCTCAAAATATGTCTTAAAACATTCAGGTTTCAAACAATGAAGTATGTTTTCAAAATGCATACTGCCTCCAACTCATTTCAAAGTGGTGTGTGACGCGCTGATGAAACCTGCCTTCCGTTGCCTTTTGAGATGCAGCAGGAGCAGCTCTTGCGGTGTCTGACAGATTGTCCGCTCAAAGGCTCTGTTTGTTGTACGCATGTGATAAGATACATAACGAATATACGGTACATACTCGCATATGCAAATTAACCTATAGACTGATAAGCATGACCAGTCAAATGTATTTCCATCAATGAACAGGCTAAACATTTATTTCGCAACAGGGATTTTCTTCTTCTTCTCCCGGACAATTGGCCTGCTCCAATTTTCTTTATTGGCTTTTCTATTTTCTATGGCCAAAAGCCAGCTATTACCGGCTAGCGGAAACCCTGACACACACAAACACAGCACCATTTAGTCACATTTTGCATGCAGGAAGGTTGTGTGTGTGTGTGGATGTCTGCCTGTCAGTGCATTGCAACATTTTGTGTGTGTGTGGATGTAGTATGGTCTGCTAGGCCAGATTTGTAAGCAGCAGTTGTGGGTTGGTTTTGTGGGTGATTGTTAGCACAGGGCCAGATTGTTGCGGGTGATTGTTAGCACAGGGCCAGATTGTTGCGGGTGATTGTTAGCACAGGGCCAGATTGTTGCAGGTGATTGTTAGCACAGGGCCAGATTGTTGCGGGTGATTGTTAGCACAGGGCCAGATTGTTGTGGGCACTGGGGATGCATTGTCACCGGCAGGAGGCTGGCCTTGTGTGAGTGAGTGTGCTGGGGTTGGTGAATGTGAGAACTTAGTTTAGACCCTCTCTCTCGCTCACCTCTTCTTCTTTCTTTAAACCCTCTTGCTCCCTCTTTCTCTTGTTCGCTTTCCCTCCTACCTTCTTTTTCTTACTCTGCTCTCACTCTTTTTCTCACCGTCTCTTTGAATCTTTTCAGTTGCTCGCTCCTTCTCTTCTTTCTTGCTCTGTGAGGACGGACTCAAATTGCATCCAGAAAGGGACAGACAGATGTGACATTCTACCCCTAACAGAGTAATTGTCTGCATACCTCACCATACCAAACAAACAAACGACCTCCCCTTAAGCCATTTCACCAACGCACTAAAAATATGCTTCAAACACTCTGAATATTCCCTCATAGCCATTACTCCTTTGCCTCACACATCCCAAATAAACACACTTTTTTTCCCTCCCATCTACTAATCTCTCGCACAGCACACCTAAATCCGCCATCCACTTCCCCCACCTCCTCTCCATCTCTCCCTCCTCGCTTCCTGTCGACTCTGCCCCAGCCAGACACCCAGCAAAATGGCCTCTCTCCAACCCCAGGTTCTCCTGGTCTGCTCCACTCCACGCTGCTGGCTCTGCTCTGACTGACACACACAGCCTGTCTGACAGCTGGCTCGCACTCCCGCAAATGAAAACACACATGGAGCTGGCAAACACACACCGATGCTTTAAGTTACTTTGCTGAGGCAACGGGCTGAAGGAGCAGACCCTGAGAAAAGTAGCTCGGTTTTGATTGGACAGCTGACTTCTGAGCCGAGTTTAAATGTAGCCTACTTGTAACTGACTCGCTTGAGTTTTGTTTCAAAATGTTGCGGTTGTGGTAGAAGTAGGCCTAGGTCTAACGTATGGTACCCAGGAGTCAGACACTTCCAAATGTTGGACTACAACTCAGTAATGACGCAGGAGCACTTGTTTGTTTAAGCGCCTGTTTTTATAACATAAGTTGGTGTTTTTTGTTTGTGTGAGTAAGTTTACATCTCAGAGTACAGTCGTGGTCAAAAGTTGAGAATGACACAAGTATTGGTCTTCACAAAGTTTGCTGCTTCGGTGTTTTTAGATATTTTTGTCAGATGTTACTATGGTATACTGAAGTATAATTACAAGCATTCCATGTGTCAAATGCTTTTATTGACAATTACATTAAGTTTATGCAAAGAGTCAATATTTGCAGTGTTGACCCTTCTTTTTCAAGACTTCTGCAATCCACCCTGGCATGCTGTCAATTAACTTCTGGGCCACATCCTGACTGATGGCAGCCCATTCTTGCATAATCAATGCTTGGAGTTTGTCAGAATTTGTGGGTTTGTGTTTGTCCACCCGCCTTTTGAGGATTGACTACAAGTTCTCAATGGGATTAAGGTCTGAGGAGTTTCCTGGCCATGGACCGAATATTTCAATGTTTTGTTCCCCGAGCCACTTAGTTATCACTTTTGCCTTATGGCAAGGTGCTCCATCATGCTGGAAAAGGCATTGGTCGTCACCAAACTGTTATTGGATGGTTGGGAGAAGTTGCTCTTGGAGGATGTGTAGGTACCCTTCTTTATTCATGGCTGTGTTCTTAGGCAAAATTGTGAGTGAGCCCACTCCCTTGGCTGAGAAGCAACCCCACACATGAATGGTCACAGGATGCTTTACTGTTGGCATTACACAGGACTGATGGTAGCGCTCACCTTGTCTTCTCCGGACAAGCTTTTTTCCGGATGCCCGAATCAATCGGAAAGGTGATTCATCAGAGAAAATGACTTTACCCCAGTCCTCAGCAGTCCAATCCCTGTACCTTTTGCAGAATATCAGTCTGTCCCTGATGTTTTTCCTGGAGAGAAGTGGCTTCCTCGCTGCCCTTCTTGACACCAGGCCATCCTACAAAAGTCTTCACCTCACTGTGCGTGCAGATGCACTCACACCTGCCTGCTGCCATTCCTGAGCAAGCTCTGCACTGGTGGTGCCCCTGATCCCGCAGCTGAATCAACTTTAGGAGACGGTCCTGGCGCTTGCTGGACTTTCTTGGGCGCCCTGAAGCTTTCTTCACAACAATTGAACCTCTCTCCTTGAAGTTCTTGATGATCCGATAAATGGTTGATTTAGGTGCAATCTTACTAGCAGCAATATCCATGCCTGTGAAGCCCTTTTTGTGCAAAGCAATGATGACGGCACGTGTTTCCTTGCAGGTAACCATGGTTAACAGAGGAAGAACAATGATTTCAAGCACCACCCTCCTTTTAAAGCTTCCAGTCTGTTATTCTAACTCAATCAGCATGACAGAGTGATCTCCAGCCTTGTCCTCGGCA